CTGAATCCAGGAACACAGCTCTCACTGCACACAGAGCGAGGAAGCTGGGAATTAAATATAGAAGAGAAAATACTCAGGAGTTTATAGTTTTAAAACAATAAAGTGGGATTTTTTGAATATTGAACAATGAGTTGGCAAGTTTTTATAATTATTTTAGCAGATTCTTGTTTTAATGCACCACTTTTTTCTAATTTCAATATATTATACCCATGAAGATCAATGTGTTTAAACAATGATCTGAAGACAACAGAAATCTGAACAATTGTGAAAATATAAAAGCTAGGGCAAAATGAGAAGTTTGGTCACTGAGTTCTTGTCTAAATGGGCAAGTGTAATGGCATGTGGATACTGTTGTGTACTTCCTGACAGCTGGAGTGAGCAGCTTTGTTTTCCAATGGTCATGCTTAATTTGCATTTGTCAATCTGACCAGTTTTAGAATTACCATATAAACTAGTCTTTGTAAATCTGTGTGAGCGATGATCTACATTAGGGTGCTTGAAGTTAGAATACTTATTTCATAATTAGGTATCACTATTTCATTGGCTGTTGTTAAAGATTGAAATGAAATCAAAAAGTGATGTGAAGAGCAGTGCTCATATCAATCTACTTCCTGACTGAAGATACAACATAACTCACTTTCTAAGATGCTTGCCAACATGATTGCCTGAATCATTATGAACTGCTCATGCCAAATGAGACCCAATAAAGTCTATATTCTTAAGTTATGTCAGCTTGGTTTTGTTGTTGTTGTTGTTGTTTGACAAATTGCTGACTTTTTCATCAGGTAGACATATAATTGACCCATGTACATGTGCCCTCCATATTATTGTGCATTGCCATGGGCCTGAAATCAAATGACCATGAACTGATATTTTCTAACCTGGAAGACAAATTATTACACTTGTCAAGTGGTTTCAGGACAAGGGTGAAATCTTAATGAATAGACACTGTATTTATTACTGGAAATACATGCACACAGAAAAAAGCATAGAAAAATAAACAATCCCGTTACTCAGAATAATGCAATAAAAACTTCCTCATATGACAGTAGTTTTGTGCATACAGATGAGTATTATGTAAGGAACCAACTATCATTACAGCCACAAACAAATGTTTATTGACATAGAGATCAAAGCAATGAGATAAGATCCAGCCCACCTCTGTAAATCCTATAGCCCATTGTATCATATGGTCAGACAAACATAGTTCTTGGCCCTGTGGAGCTTTTGGAGAAAATGTTCCAACTTTCATCTTTTGTCTGAGACCATCTGGAAAATTCCAGAGGTTGAGAATATCATATTCTGCTTCTAATTTCCTTTGTGAATCCAAAACCATAAGGTTTCCTGCACCATTTTTGAAATGGATATTCTTGAGATAAGGGTGAAGCTAAAAGAGATACAGAATTTGATGATGAATTTATTCCCAGAAAGATCAACAGAACCCAATGAAGCAATGTACCTCATTGTCCTAAATCCCTGATATGAATTGTAAGTTATACCAAGCTATAAACACTTTAATGGATGAAGATTAAAAATGAATATATCATGTTTCTTGTTACTTAATTTCAAAAGAAAGAATTCGCACACACAAACACACAGTAATTAGCAAGAAACAAAATGACTTAATCAATTGTGGTGATGTGTTGTGTCCTCCACTATATTGTGCACCCTAATCAAGTTTATCTGGGGATCAGAGGAAAAAGCCAGCTACTATATTAAACATAGAGTTCAGGCAATGGTGCACACGCCTTTAATCCTGTCACTAGTGAAGCAGAGTTCCGTCTGGATCTCTGTGAGTTCAAAGCCACCTTGGCGAACAGAGAAAGGCATGGTGACACACGCCTTTAAACAGGACTAACCATAGAGGTCTGGAGGTCTGTACAGAGAGACAGGAAATGATGTAGCTAGGCAGAGAGAGGAAGTGAGATACAGAACAGAAATGCATATAGGTGTGGGTATACAGTAAGTAGGTCTCTTTGGCTGAAGATCAACAACTGGTAAGAACATTTTGGACTTCGTCCTGCTTTTCTGATCTCTTGGTATTAATCCCAATATCTGGCTCTGAGTTTTTTATTAAGACCTTTAGCAATTTGTGGTACTATCAATGAATGTTGATTTAAGCAAATTTCCACAACAGTAATCTACTCAAAGTTTCAGTTTGTAAGTTGGGGTGTTAATGTCCAAAATGAAATAAAATTGTCAGTTAGGAATCATAACCATAGATTCATAATTTGAATTTTAAGGATCTAATAGAATTTGACCATTAAAGATATAGTTCTCATCCGGGTGGTGGTGGCACACGCCTTTAATTCCAGCACTCGGGAGGCAGAGCCAGGCAGATCTCTGTGAGTTCGAGGCCAGCCTGGGCTACCAAGTGAGTTCCAGGAAAGGCGCAAAGCTACACAGAGAAACCCTGTCTCAGAAAAAAAAAAAAAAAAAGATATAGTTCTCCTATTTCTGTCCTGCAATATACTTAGCGATAATGGGGTTTCAATTGATTATAGGATCATGAGAAGATTCTGAGGATACCTGTAACACAAAGCAGATAATGACATATACACATTTAAACTTTATTGCCACCCATTCAGTCTGAACAATGACACGTGTCTGCAAAGACTTCTAGACAACAAATTACATACAGTCTCTGAGGTGATTTTTGGTAAAACCTGCCACAGTGTGAAATCATGTATTGTGTGCTTTTAAGAAACCTCAGTATGTCACAGTACATTTGATAATATATACAGGAAGAGAAATTACCTCCCAAGGATAGGTATTTACTTCCCCATTTCCATGAGGGTGAATTTCGACTTGTTTCAGAGTCATTTCATGGAGACTGTGAGCCACAACATATACAGAATTATATACATTATAACTCTCTTCAGTCATATCCATTTCCAAAGCATTTCGAGGCAACATTTCCAAGGAAGCATTGGGTTGACAGTTACCTAATATTTTACAACTGGGTCCAGAAAAAGAGCAATTGAAATATCTGTTCCACAAAAGAGCAAGGATATAGTCTTCTGGATATTTGGAAGGCTTGTATGTCTGGATAAACTTCCTAAAATCAGAAATATCAGCATGGTGTTGTGCAAAAATGAGACTACCATGGAATGGATCAGATACAAAATAAGGAACATCAGTAGTTACATCCCATTGTGACTTAGTGATCCAGACTTTCCAAGTAATTGAATGTATTCCTATATATATTATTAGATCATATAAATATTGAGTGACATCATAAAGGAAAACAACATTTGTAGATGATTTCAAGATGTTTCGATGAGTTGTTCTGGATTCATAGCCCGAGTAAACTTGGCTGTCCGGAATCATTTCTACAAAAGCTACACACACTCTGTTCCTGTCCATCTCTCTTCTCAAGTTTGATAGAATCTCAGCCCCATTGTGGTCATCTGTGAGAACCAATCCCACCCAGGTCCAGTTGAAATGAACCATCAAAATGACAATGCCATGAGACAGAGACATGTCCTTTTGTGCTGTCTGGTAGAGAGAAGAAAACTGGACTCTGTCACTTAGGGTATCGTCAAATGGCCGAAAAGTAATCTGAAGGAAATAGGAAACAAAAGTGAAAACATTGAGATAGAACACAGTTTTAAACCTGAGTTGACACTTTTATTGGTATAGACTACCTTCTGCTCATCGTATTTTAAACTTGCATCTTGTTTCTGAAGATATTTATAGAGAATTTCTTACAAGACACAGAGTTTTCTAAACCCCTAGTATAGGCTCCAGCATCTTCCTCTTCTCTATCCTGAGAAAAGTATATGAGGGCATGTAACCAAATACCTGATTTGATCTCTTTGATAGATGAATGTCACAGCTCCACCTCTTTACATTGAAAACATATCAAATGTCTGCAGTTTAATATGGGTTTCTTGTTCCCTGCCAACCACATTCCTCACCTGTGGATATTTGTAAAGATTCAGCAGTCTCCCAACTTGTACAGATGTTTCCCATTCTGTTCCTGTAAGTAAAGCAGCAACCTTGTTCTTTCTTTTACATGTGTAATTGGGAATGTATATTCCCATTCCTGTGAGGCAAAAAAAAGTTTCCTTCATAATATCCCGTAGACTGTTTTCAACATTATAGAGCTCAAATCCGAGAGATGTGTTGGGTAAAATGTGAGTGTTCCTGTTGATCTCCTCAATGGCAAATATGAAGGCCAAAGAAAACTGGTAGCTCCTCAACTTGAATCTGCAGAGAAGGATTGTCAATATTCATGGCGTGGACTCATATCATATCTAACAATATGATGCTGGACTACATTGTAGATGATATGGTACTAATGGCTTTTATACCTTCAATGTTATATATCTACAGACAATAATTTTTGTTAGCATGAGGATATTTTTGAATGTCATGGTATATAGTAAGTGATGATTTAATTATCTAAAAGACTTGGGTGTGTCTAAAATTTCCTGGCAGTAACCTTGAGCTGTACTGATAATAACCTTGGAATCTCTAGTATGGGGGAACACAAATAAAACCCCTATTCTTTTTATACTTTAGTGATATAATCAGCTGATGGAGACTTCCATCCTTAAAGGCTCTCCTGTTATGTACTATAAAAACCCCAAGTCCCCCCACACCACAATCACACTGTCTGTACATAGATGGGGAGACGACATCCTTTCACTTGTTTTGATGAAGGACCAACAATGTTTATGGGGATGTCAGCCTATGTTGAAAGTATCAATCCCAAAGCAACCTTGGATCTGAACCTGAGAGGGTTTAGGAGTCCAGCACCAAAACACATCTCTTTGAACAACCTTCCCTCTCTCCCATTCCATTTCCCTCTCCTTTCCGAGAGCCATACAATGAAGAGCAGAATGGGTGAGTGAACTTCCTATGGTTTAACAGCCAACAGTCATAACTGAATCCCCTGGGCTACTTTGTAGCATTTTTTTTGCTATCTCTACCATTTGCCTGCCTTTTTCTTTATCCCTTCACTATGTTCTTACCTTCCACACAAAGTTGATTACATAACAACCTTAAATGCCCTGATGATAGGCATAACTTGGAGCTGAGTTCAACTTGAACAGAATATATGACCTGGTTCATTGCACCCATGACTTGAGGATCCTTATCAAGATGGAAGCAACCATTTGACTTGGAAGCTAAGTTTGCCTAATGATATCATAAAGCAAGCATACTCATACTTCTTGGGACAATCCAAAATGGTGAGCACCATTAAATGTCATTGTCCCATTGAATCCAACAGGATCCACATACTCATATTAAATATGACCATGGAGAAAATATCTGACCTCTGTGGTGTTTATTTTGTCATTATTAATGTTTTTCCTCCATTTTGTTTTAACATTAATAGGTTATTAGATGATATAATTACTAGCTTCTAAAAAGATCCTAATTAAAATCACAAGCCTGAACAGAGACTCGAAGGATGAAATGCCATGTGAGAGAGAAACTGTAGCCAGGAAAGGGCTTCTATGGTAGGCTCTACAGGGTCTTACTGCTAATTCTTACTGAGAAGTCCGAGTCAGTTTTCCTCTAACTGAGGTAAAATGTCCTTTATTTGTTATCTGAATGTCTGCTTTTGTTTCTGCCCAAACTAACAACATGTTGAATAAAGATACCTCTGTGAGGCTTTCCTTTTACAATGAAAAAGATAAAAGTCTAATCTCAACCAGCAATAATTATAAAATCTTGTTTTTTTGGAATTTGTCTTTTATATTTTTTTCATAGTACCACAAAATTCGCTATTTATTTTAAACCCAGGAGGCTTTGAAGAACTTGCAGGTTAAAAGAGGGATTTTTCTGTATAGTTGCTCACAAAATACCTCTGATGAGTCCTTCTAAACACAAGATGCTTTCTGAAACATCTTTCAAACCAGAACATGTCCCTGTTTCCCAAATTACCCAGGAATGATTATTTTGTTGGCTTTTTCTTGATCATGTACATTAAAGGCATGAAGATAAAGCATACTCTGAAGCATTGCATAGTGGATAATTATTTTTAAGGCGCTTCAGCTACATCATTTTAGCATCTGTGTAATTTAACTGAAGTGAGATTCTCAATTAGCAGGTTTCCCTTTCATCTCTTGGATGTAAATTCTTCATGGACAGGGAAGTGCCTCCCTCTTTGAGGAGCTATATTTATGCCCATTTTTTAAAAATTATAACTGCTTGGCCATTAGCTCCAGTTTATTACTGACTAGCTCTTACACTTAAATTAACCCATAATTCTTATCTATGTTTAGTCACGTGGCTTGGTACCTTTTCTCAGTTCTGCCTTGTCATCTTCCTTCCTCTGTGTCCGGCTGGTGACTCCTGACTTTGCCCTTCCTCTTCCCAGAATTCTCCTGGTCTGCTGGCCCCCCTATACTTCCTGCCTGGCAACTGGCCAATCAGTGTTTTATTTTTATTTTTTTCATTTTTATTTATTAAGAAATTTTCTATTCACTCTACATACCACCCACAGATCCCACCTATTTCCTCCTCCTATCCCCCAGCCCTCACTCCCAATACAACCCACATCCCCCAAATCAAGGTCTCCCATAGGGAGTCAGCACAGCACAGCACACTAAGCCTATGGAGGTCCAAGCCCCTCCCCACTGCACCAAGGCTGCACAAGGCATCACACCACAGGCACCAGGCTCTCAAAACCCTGCCCATGTACCAGGGATGGATCCTGATCTTCCTGCCAGGGTGCACCCCAAAAAGTTCAAGACAAACAACTGTCTTTCTTATCCCGAGGGCCTAGTCCAGTCCCATGGGGGCTCCACAGTCACTAGTCTACAGTTCATGAGCTTCCACTAGTGTGGCTGGTCATCTCTGCATATCTTCCCACCATGATCTCAAAGTCCTCTGCCTGCAGAATCCCTCCTCTCTCTCACCAGTAGGATTTCTGAAGCTCAGCCTGGCACCTGGCCGTGGATCTCTGCATCTGCCTCCATTAGTCACTGGACAAAGGCTCTATGATGACAGTTATGGTATTTTCTAGACTGGTCACCAGAGTAGAACAGTCCAGGCACCCTCTGTACCACTGCCAGCAGTCCAAGGTGAGAGCCTCCCTGGCACCCTGCCTCTTCCTATTCCCGTGATATCCTCATCTATCATGGTATCTCCCTGCCAGCCCTCCCACTCTGTCACTGTTCCAGCTCAACCCTCCCATTTTCCTATGCTCTCATCCCCTACTCCTTGCCCTCCACCCCTCCCAACTCCCAGTCCTTGCATGTAGATCTCATCCACTTCTCCTTTGCTGGACCATTCATGTTTCCCTCCTAGGGTCTTTCCCTGTTACCTAGCCTCTATGGAGCTGTGGGTTGCAGCCTGGCCATCCCTTCCCTCACATCTAGTATCCACTTATGAGTGAGTACATGTTTGTCCTTCTGAGTCTGGGTTACCTCACTCAGGATGATATTTTCTAGTTCCATCCATGTGCCTTCAAATTTCATGATATCATTGTTTTTTCTGCTGAGTAGTACTCCATTGTGTATATGTGCCACATTTTCTTTATCCATTCTTCAGTTGAGGGGCATCTAGGTTTTTTCCAGGTTCTTGCTATTACAAATAATGTTTATATGAGCATGTGTCCTTGTGGTATATTTGAGCATTCATTGGGCATATGCCCAAGAGTGTTATAGCTGGTTCTTGAGGAAGACTTATTCCAAATTGTCTGAGAAACCGCCATACTAATTTCCAGAGTGGCTGCAGAAGTTTGCATTCTCACCAAGAGTGTAGGAGTGTTGCCCTTGCTGCACATCCTCTCTAACATAAGCTGTCTTCAGTGTTTTTGATCTTAGCCATTCAGACAGATGTAAGATGGTATCTCAGAGTTGTTTTGATTTGCATTTCCCTGATGACTAAGGATGTTGAGCAATTCCTTAAATGTTTTTCATTTGAGATTCTTCTGTTGAGAATTCTCTGTTAAGCTCTATAGCCCATTTTTTAAAAAAAATTGAATTTGCTCAGTATTTTGAAGTCTAGCTTTTTGAGTTCTTTATATATTTTGGAGATTAGGCTTCTGTCAGATGTGGAGTTAGTGAAGATCTTTTCCCATTCTGTAAGCTGTCATTTTGTTTAACACACTATTGACCATGTCCTTTGCTCTACAAAAGCTTCTCAGTTTTAGGAGGTCTCATTTATTAATTGTTGCTCTCAGTGTCTGTGCTACTGGTGTTATATTTAGGAAGTGGTCTCCTGTGCCAATTTGTTCAAGACTACGTCCTACTTTCTCTTCTATCAAGTTCAGTGTAACTGGATTTATGTTGAGGTCTTTGATCCACTTGGACTTGAGTTTTGTGCATGATGACAGATATCGTTCTATTTGTGATCTTCTGCATTTTAACATCCAGTCATTCTAGCACCATTTGTTGAAGATGCTTTTTTTTCCATGGTACTACTTTGGCTTCTTTGTTGAAAATAATATGTCCATAAGTGTATGGATTAATGTCATGGACTTGAATTCAATTCCCTTGGTCCACATGTTGGTTTTTATGCCAGTACCAAGCTGTTTTTATTACTATAGCTCTATAGTAGAGCTTGAGGTCAGGGATCATGATGCCTCCAGAGGTTCCGTTATTATACAGGAATGTTTTAGCTATGCTAGATTTTTTGTTTTTCTATATAAAGTTAAGTATTGTTCTTTCCAATCTGTGAAGAATTGTGTTGAGATTTTGATGGGGATTGCACTGAATCTGTAGATTGCTTTTGGTAAGATTGTCAGTTTTACTATGTTAATCTACCTACTCATGAGCATGGGAGATCTTTCCATTTTCTGATATCTTCTTCAATTTCTCTCTTCAGAGACTTAAAGTTCTTATTATACAGGTCTTTTACTTGCTTAGTTAGAGTTACCCCAATGTATTTTCTATTATTTGTGGCTATTGTAAAGGGTGATGTTTCCATAATTTCTTTCTCAGCCCATTTGCCATTTGTATATAGGAGGGCTATTAAGTTTTTTGAGTTAATCTTGTATCCTGCCACCTTACTGAAGGAGTTTATCAGCATAGGAGTTCCCTGATAGAATTTTTGGGGTAACTTATATATATTATGTATACTATCATATCATCTGCATATAGGGAAAGTTTGACTTCTTCCTTTCCAATTGTATCCCCTTTATCTCCTTTTGTTGTCTTATTGCTCTATCTAGAACTTCAAGTACTATGTTGAATACAAATGGGGAGAGTGAACAGCCTTGTCTTGTTCCTGATTTTAGTGGAAGCGCTTTG